TGGCCCCAGGGGTTTACCTTTAGGGATATCAGAGAAGTTGTCACTGAATAGGCACCCATAAGTAAAATCTTTTTTTTTTCTTTTTTTTTTTTTTGAGAGATTTTCACTGTAGGGCGCGTGCGCTCGCCAGACAGACAGAGAGAGACATAGAGACAGAAAGCGAGAAATCACCCCCCAGGGGGGATGGTCACGCCTCAATCCCCTCTCCTCCATTCTCCTCTCGGGATCTTGGGCACGCACGCACACGTGCCCGGCGTGAGTTTTTTAAGCCACCGGGTCCGGGACACGAACCGCGGTCGACTACGTGGGAATCCAGCGACATAGCCATTACGCTAACTGCTGGTTCCCCCATAAGTAAAATCTTGAGAGGGAATCATGTAAGTATGGGAGAAGAGCATTGCAGGCAAAGCAGAACAGCCAGTGCAAAGGTCCTGGGGTAAGGAGCAGCAGAGGGCTGGAATGGAGTGAACAAAGAGAGAGGGAAGGTTTGATGGGAGTGAGGAAAGGTAAATTCACATAGGGCCTTATGGGTAATGGTTGAGAACATTAACTTTTATGACGAGCGAGGTGCAGCAAGCAGATACCTCTGATTCAAGGAGGTCCCTTGTGTGGTAGGGACCCCACACACACCCAGTGTGGTTTTCTTTCTTTCTTAAAAGTCTTTTTCCTATCAGATTTTCTTTTTAAATAATTATTTATTTAATTTTATTTATTCATTTCTTTTAATCTGACCAGAGAGAGAAAGTGAGTAAGCCACCAGGCCTGGAACTTGAACCGTGGTCAGCCATGTGGGAGTGTTAATAGGTCCCGATGTTAATAGGTCCCCTATTGGGGAGGGGGCAGAGAGAACTGGGAAGAGGCTGCTGCCATAGTCCAGTTGAGAGAAGGTGAAGGGTGGACCAAGATGAGGGCCTTAGGGGGTGGGGAGGGAGATGAAATTCTGAAATAAGGCAGAGTCACCCAGCCCTGTTCAGGCATAGCCATTAGGGCAGAGCAGGCAACAGCCAGCCCAGGTGTGAGGCCAAGCCACCCACAGGGGCAAGGCCCTGGCTGGCTCCAGCAAACCTTCCTGCAGAAGGGGTAACTACAGGATAAAGGCTCTGGGACGCTTGGAGGGGCCCACTGATAGATCTGTCCCCTAGATACTGCCACAGCCATGGAGCATGGTTAAGAACCACACTACCGATCGCCTGGTTTCAAATTTTAGCTCTCGCCTGGTTTCAAATTTTAGCTCTATCACCTACGTGCTATCTACTCTTAAGCAAGCAGCTGGACCTCTCTGGGTCTAAGTGTTGTGTGGACTTAAAATGACAAAGACAATGATTGGGACCAGCAGTTAGCCTAATGGCTATGTCGCTGGACTCTCATGTAGCTGACCAAGGTTCGAGTCCCAGACCCACTGGCTTAAACTCATGCGGGGCGCATGTGCGTGCGTGCGCAAGATCCCAAGAAGAGAATGGAGGAGAAGGGATTGCAGCGTGGCCATCCCCGCTGGGGGCTGATTTCTCGCTTTCTGTCTCTATGTCTCTCTCTGTCTGTCTGGCGAGTGAACACGCCCAATAGCAAAAACCTTAACCCCCCCCCCCAAAAATGACAAAGACAATGATCTACACAGTCACCCCTCTTCGACACCCCTTCTATAGGACAAGCATAGAGAAGGGGGTCAGATCTGAAGTCAGAGAGACCCATAACCGCCATACACCGGGACCACTGCCCTTTAAGGCCCCGGGAAAGGAAGAGTGGATAAAAAGACTTGCAACCGCTTTCCCATCCATCCTTTATTTTCTCCCTCGTCTATGCTCCTGTCTCCGTGGCTCACATCCTTCACCCTAGCCAATTCTCCGTCTCCCCATCCTTCGCGTCCCCTGCCCGTCGTCGCTGTCTCCAGTCCCTTCATCACTGCGAGCCGAGTCGTCTCCCAGTACCTCCTCCCCCGCGCCTGGTTGGGGGTGACACGGCGCATGCGCAGTCAGCGCCCCTCCCTCTCCACCCCCATCCCCCGTTGGCGTCTGGGCCTCGTCCCCTTCTCTCTGTCTCTCTCTGCTCCCCCATCACGTCCCCCGACACCGACACCCCATTGCTCCCGCGATCTCTGCAGTCTCAGCTTTGGTCTTCAGCCCTGTCTACCCGAGGTAAGGTGGGAAGAGGGGAGGCCCGCGGAGAAGGGGAGGGGCGAAGCATCCTGCATCCCGAGATAAACAAACCCGGGGAGGGGGCGGCGGAGTCTGAGGGTCCTGACGCCGTCGGAGAAGAATGGGGGCTGGGCCTGGAGGAGGTGGCAGGCGCTGGGCGTGCACGCCCGGGCTCTCTGATGGGTAAAGCGGGTTCCTATGGTAGACAAGATCCAGAGGTAGAGTCCCGGGGACCGCCCGGGGACCTGGGAGGTTCTGGAGGCTCCTACCCTCAAGCCTGTGAGGAACCCTCTCTAGCTGACCTCTGCCTCCAGGATTTGCCTAAAGGCCGCCCCCAGCTCTGCACCTGCCCCCCGGAGGGCCACCAAGGACCATGACTAAGACAGATCCGGCCCCAATCGCCCCACCGCCCAGAGGAGAGGAGGAAGAAGAGGAGGAGGAGGATGAGCCCGTCCCTGAGGCCCCTAGCCCCACCCAGGAGCGCCGGCAGAAGCCTGTTGTACATCCCTCGGCACCTGCCCCTCTCCCTAAGGACTACGGTATGGGCTGGCCTGGAGCCTCGATGGTCAGGGAGGGTGGGCTAAGCTCTGCTGGTGGCGATGGTGGGGGCATTCTGGGGAATTGGAATGTGGTCCTGAGGAGTGCTGGCTGTGGAGGCCTTGACCCTCCCCCCTTTTTAATGAATTCACCCTTTGGAGAATGGAACTAGAATAATCCTAATCTTTGATTCATGACACATCATTCAGTCATTTAGTCATTCAACAAACATTTATTGAAAGCCACTATGACTATGGACCTGGCTCTATGCTAGGAGCTGGGGGCACAACATGAATCAAGATAGACCCAGTTTTTGTCCTGAGAGGACTCACAAGCCTTGATAATAACCACACAAATAAGTCCAAAAATACAGTATGATAGATCATTCCCAGCCATGATGAGAACTGTGTTTGCCAAGAACAAGAGCTTTTGAAGACATGGTTCCCATAAGGAGGTAACATTTGAAGGAGATCTGAGGGAGAATTAGGGATAACTAGGGGAAGGGGGTGGTTGCAGAAGGGGTAACTACAGGAATAAAGGATCTGAGACAGGAGGGTGTGAAGCTGAGACTGTGGCCTCTTGAAGAAACGGAACGTGTCTAATCATTTCCCAAGGAATATGTTTTGAGTGCTACCATTCTGTGATGAACCTTATTCTGGATGGTGGGGATTCAGCGATGGGTTCTCAGGCATGATCCCTGCTCTCAGATGAGGGGAGACTAAACAAGTGAACAGATAAATAAATTAGATGCATTCAGCTTGGAGGGAGTGCCATGAAGTAAGAGTGACGACATAATACGTCATGGGTAGGGGGCAGCTCACTTGGGATGAAGTAGTCAGGGTAGGTGTTTTGTTTTTTTTAAGTTTTTGCCATGCTTGCTTCGGCAGCACATATACTAAGTTTTTGCCATAGAACAGGTGCACTCACCAGAGAGAGACAGAAAGAGGGAAAGCGAGAAATCACCCCCCCCAGGAGGGATGGCCTCACTGCAATCCCATCTCCATTCTCCTCTTGAGATTTTGGGTATGCACTCACACACACCCAGTGTGGTTTTCTTTCTCTCTCTCTCTCTCTTTCTTTCTTTCTTAAAAGTCTTTTTCCTATCAGATTTTCTTTTTAAATATTTATTTAATTTTATTTATTCATTTATTTTATTATGACCAGAGAGAGAGAGAAAGTGAGTAAGCCACCAGGCCTGGAACTTGAACCGTGGTCAGCCATGTGGGAGTGTCCAGTGCCTTAAACACTACGTCACCTGCTGGTTCCCCCCCAGCCCCAGCCCCCCCCCATGTGATTTCCAAGTCCCCCAGATCCAGAAATCAAATTGCATCAGCCACATAGGAGTCAAGCACCCTCACCACGCCACCTGCTAGTCCAGCTTGGGTCTTTCTGACAAGGTGGCATTCAGGCTGGGACCCAGAGCAAAAAGAGGGAGGAGTCAGGCTTGGAGAGCTGGAGAAAGAGAGTCCTAGGCAGAGAGCAGAAGGGTAAAGGCCCTGAGGTAGAATGGAATTTAGAACAAAAGGCCCGTGGAGCTGCATTTATAGAGTGATGGGAGTTGAGGTGAGACGTCAGCATGGCCCAGACCTGCAAGGGCCTTGAAAGGCCACAGTTGAGGTTTTTGTATTTATTCTGAGGGTGAAAGGGAGACAGCAGAGGCGTGTCAGGTCTGATTGATAGTTTTATTGTTTTTCTTTTTCCCCTCAAATAATTGTTTATTTATTTAATTCCACTGTTACTATTTTTCAATTTGACCAGACAGAAACAGAGAGAGAGAAAGGGAAAGTGAGAAAGCAAGCTGCCAGGTCTGGGACTTGAACTGT